CATAATATTGGAACGCAGCAGGGAATGCTACCCATAAGGCACGATGTTCTGAGAGCCGGGCGGTTTAAATGCTTCATCTAATACATCGGTTTACATTTCATAAACTCTTTATGATGTTTTATCTGCAAGTCCAGCGTGATCATGAATATTCTTATGATTGAAAAACTATATCTATCCTTTGTTATATGATCTGCATTACACAATATTTCTCCAGATGGTCATGGCCAAAATTTGATATATGCTTATATTCTTTAATACTCTGAATACGCATTTTTCGAGATAATGTCTTAATATGGTAATATTTAGCAGCATCGAAATTGCTCTCAAAACTATAACCTATACATATGAAATCTCGAAAGAAATGGACTCGTTCCAGATATGACCACAAAACAATTAAAGCAAAAAAGTAAGATTTTCGATAAGATTGTCTTTACTAACTTCTCAAGGTGAGAGATTTCGTCAAATGGAGACTTCATAAGCTTTGGTTATAAGCTTATGAAGCTTATAATTAAAACCATTTTTTTATCCTGCTTGCTTTAATGGGAATGTGTGGAGAGAGAGAGAGGGGCCCAGATGCATATACTAATTATTCAGTCAGATATCCGTGTAAACTTTCGATTTCCTAGTATTAACCCATTTCAGTACTTCACCGGTGCTATCTTGATTATGCCGCAGATGTGGGTAAATGTATGTACATGAGTTTATATATATATGATATTCAGGATAAAATGTTCAGTTTAGCATTACATAGCCGTAAAATGCGTTTGCTGTAAATTACACCAGATATGTATTTTTCCACCTTTAAGACAAATTTTAAGTACAGCCTGACTTTTAACATACATGTAAAAGTTGCATGATCATGCTATTTCATACCAGGAATTGCTTCGTTTTCAGGGAATAAGAAAGTCGACTTTTTAAACTTTTGGTATCAACACTAAGTCATATATTTTCAATGAAAAAAGTGAAATCGCGAATGTTGAGGTTGCAAAATATTTCCGTAACACTGATGAATTTATGTGGTTTATTGATAACCGACAAATGGAATGGAAAAAATAATACAATAGCGAATATTGTTTCAAAATTTTCCGCAACACAGATTAATTCCTATAATAATAACAGTTTGCGTAGGCTCATGTCTTAGTGTCAAAATGAATAATTAATATAGAGCTAATAAAAATATGCATGACTAAT